GGACAAATTTTTCAGCAACTAAAAAGCTTTTCTTTCTGAGAAATTTGTACGGATTTCTTCTGGCTTCTTGTTACAAATGGGTGGTTGTCTTCTTTCCCTTTCTTGACCCTTACGCCACCTTGCGGATTTCTGCATAACTCATTTGCTATGCAGGGTAATTTAACGTGCTTAACCATTTTTCTTTGACTGTCTTGCTTTGATGGAACTTTTTTGGAGTCTTAGAAGGATACAATGGCAGGTTAGGAAAAACTTCAAACACACTTTCCAGCACAAGAATCACCTTCATTACCGCGACCGATTTCATCTTTTCTTCCATCGACAACGTGGCTGTATGTTCTAAAGATGGCCTCATCATGAAAATGCGCATCGCAAACACGTGATTTGTCCGACAGCCTTTTTGTCGAGACGGAGACTAGCCCAATTTTATGCTGCACAGAAAGCCGAAATACGTGGAGCACAGTAGAAGTGTCTCAGTGGATTGTTAGTCCCATAGCTGCTTGTGCATCTAGGCACACAAGTTGGCATTGCACATGCACACACATATGCTACATATGTAAAGAAGTTTATTGGGCGAACCAAACGGGCAGGTGGAAGATTCGAGATAGCGACAGGACGAGGAAGATGGAGGAGCTCGAGCGCCGATCTCGTGGTGCCTTAGTCTGCGATGATGCTTGTTGTTCCCTTTTGTTGTCATCATTCCTTCATTATAATTGCCCCCGTCGAGAAAGATCAAGCCATCCTGGCAATCTAACAGGTGGGAACGAGCGGGTCGAAGTACGGCTTCAAGTGGTCCACGTGAACAATATCGTGTCCACGCCAACGATGGTCACCGAGTGGCGTAAGCGGTTCAATGGCGTAATTGACGGGTGATGTGCGCTCTACCACCCGGTATGGACCTTGGTAATTTAAAAGTAGCTTGGTAGACAAACCAGGTGCACAGGGTGGTACATACAGCCATACAACGGTTCCAGGGGCGAACTTTGCGACAGGAGGGTGGTCGTCATCGCGGGCCTTTTTCTGGCATTGCTGGTCAGCCGTAGTAAACTGCTTCGCTAGTTGGCGGCATTCTTCGGCGTGACGGGCGGCTTCAGACACGGTCATGCACTCAGATACATCTGGTGCATATGGCAGCAAAGTGTCAATTGTGTGCGATGGTTGACGTCTGTATAGAAGGTAGAATGGGGAAAAGCTGGTGGTGACTTGAGTAGCGGTGTTGTACGCGTAGGTCGCAAATGGAAGAACCAGGTCCCAGTTTGTTTGGTCAGATGCCACATGCGTCGCGAGCATGTCACCCAGGGTCCGATTAAACCGCTCAGTCAGGCCATTCGTCTGAGGGTGGTAAGCAGTACTCGTCCAGTGTACAATATGGCACTGACGGAGAAGTGCTTGGATTACGTCAGATAGAAATACATGGCCCCGGTCACTGAGGAGCTCGCGAGGAGGGCCATGACGCACCACAAACCAATGGAGGGTGAAAGATGCGACGTCCTGAGTGGTCGCCGTAGGAAGAGCAGCGGTTTCGGCGTACCGTGTCAGGTGATCTACAGCAACGATAGCCCACTGGTTACCTGCTGTGGTCAATGGCAGTGGTCCATAAAGGTTGATTCCGACGAGATCGAATGGGCGGTCAGTGTACGCAAGCGGCTGTAGTGGAGCTGCTCCTGCATTCGGTGGCTGTTTTCGTCGCTGACACTCGTGACAGCCGCGAATAAACTGTCGAACAAAAGTAAACATGCCACGCCTGTAGTACCGCTTCCTTAGACGTTCGTAGGTCTTGAAGACACCGGCGTGAGCACATTGCGGGTCGGAGTGAAATGATGCACAGATTGTAGAGCGCAGCTTCCGGGGAATAACGAGCAGCCACTTCCTGCCGTCTGGTGAGTAATTGCGCCGGTACAAGAGGCCACCCTCAGACGAATGGCCTGACTGAGCGGTTTAATCGGACCCTGGGTGACATGCTCGCGACGACGGGGTGAAGGTGAGCGACCAGACATAGTACGGGGACATTCCCGTGAAGACGAGCTTGACTGAGGGTCAGAATTTTCCAGACGGGATGGAGGAAGGTCCATGAAGCTGTTCTGTGTCCGGGCGTCTATGTATCCCGGCACGCGACGACGGCAGTAACGGGCGATATGGCCAGGGCCGCCGCACGCAAAACAGATGGGCCGGTTATCGCGCGTTCTCCAAGTATTGGCGACGAGGGGAGCAGCCCATGTGGCAGACGGCTGAGTCGGGGCTGAGGTATACGGCAGTCCCTGGAACGGCGGGGGGTGGTGGGGCTGCTGCCGCTTTAGAGCCTCAGCGTAAGTAAGAGGTGCGGTGACGGGGGGCTGCTGCAAGGGCACCGGCATAGCCTCGGAAATCTGCTCCTGGACCACATGTCGGAGCATGGGAGCCAATGGTGGTGGGTGTCGCAGTGGCTGTTGGTGCGAGAGCTCCTGGCGTTGAGCAAAAGGCAGCAGAGAAAGCTGCCGAGCCACTTTCTCTCGCACGAAGTCTTTCATTTGTGCGAGAAAGTTTGTCTGGTCAGTCATAACGTCCAGTGCGGTCACTGCTTGGATTGTCTGGAATGAGCGTCGTGTCTGAGCTCGTTGCCTCCGCAATTCATCATAGCTTTGGCACAAAGTCACTACTTCTGCCACAGTGCTAGGAGACTTCGCGAGAGGTATCTGGAAAACGTCATCGTCGACGCCCTTCATAATGTGCTGTATCTCCGCACTCTCGCTCATGGAAGCATCGACGTGCTGGCAGAGATCGATCACATTTTCTATATATGATGTGAAAGTTTCACCTGGCTCCTGTGCTCGTGTGCGCAGACGTTGTTCGGCGCGTAGCTTCTGTAAGACAGGACGACCAAAAATGGCACATATTGCCTCCTTGAAGGCGGACCAATTCGCGAACTCGGTTTCGTGGTTCGTATACCACAGCTTGGCCACGTCGGTGAGATAAAAATTGACAGTGCCTAACTTAGCAGAGTCATCCCACCTGTTGGGTCCACTGACTTTCTTGTATGACGCCAGCCAGTCGTCGACGTCCTGGTCTTCAGTGCCGGCAAAGATCGGTGGGTCTCGCTGATGAACCGGGCCTGGGCAAGTAGCGGCCGCGAGAGGTATTGTTTGTTGGGCAGCGTCAACTTGCATGGTCGACGGCAGGGTGCAGGATCGGAGTTCCAGGTTGTAGGCGATGTGGTTACCCCGCACCTCCACCAAGTGTAAAGAGGTTTATTGGGCGAACCAAATGGGCAGGTGGAAGATTCGAGATAGCGACAGGACGAGGAAGATAGAGGAGCTCGAGCGCCGATCTCATGGTGCCTCACTCTGCGATGATGCTTGTTGTTCCCTTTTGTTGTCATCATTCCTTCATTATACATAGAACACAACAGCATGCGAAATCTCTTCAGTTTGCATATTACAGCACACATACACTACACAATTGCATCTAAACAAACACACAATCTGTCACACGTTGCTGGACTGGCTGAAGCCTGTTGCGAGATCAGCGCTTGCGGCGGCCGGAACAATACCGCTGAGTTTTTAAACTAGACAGATTTTATAAAGACGACTTCGAGAGCGATTTTGATGGTCTGAAATAGACAGACAAGTAGAGCTTGCCACCCACATATGCGTAGTTGGCCAGAAGGCTGACGAGAGTGCCAAGAGTGCATTAACTCTGCTGCAACCCGTTCCCCTTCCAGAGCCGCCGGGGCAGAAGGTCGCCATCAATTGTGTCGGCCTCATGGAAAGAGCTCGTTGCCGGTTCGCCATCACCCTTATAGATGACTTCCCCTAGTGGCCGAAAATACAGTTCTGCAGTGAGGTGTTGGTGTACACAGTGACAAGCTTTCTGCTCTCAGTATTTTCTAGAGAAAGCTAGCTCGACGAAGTTGTGTGTGGCAACAGCCCTCAGTTTTGCTCCCAAGAATTCAGCCAGTTTCTGAACAATCATGCCTTTCGCCTCTCTCAGTCTTTATTGTACTACTTCCTGGTAAATGGACTAGTAGAACACTCCAACCGTTTGTTCAAAAACTTCGTACAGACAGCTTTGCTGAAACATCGACCTCTAGACCCCAGCACGCCTTAACCACAAGCAAGTGCACCTCTTCCTGCTGTGGTTGCCAGCCAAGCTGCTTCAGATGCGGACCTTCCTGAACCACAGCTGTGTCCGGCTTCAGTGTGTGTTCAACCACCAAGGGCAAGCTGCCCTTCGAAATGCTCCGATGTGTGACAGATAGTGGTTTCTTTTTATGCAGCCTCTTCTTCGATAATTTGTTAGGAACAAGCTTTGTAAGGGAGCCCTGCATTTTGTATACACAGTATTCTTTTGTAGTTGTTAAAGAAAACAGATTGAAGCTGGAGCTCGGAGACAAAAAGGTGGCCAGGGGCATGCTCTGTATTTCATTTATTCTCATTCTGTCAACAATGATTGGAAGACGTTCTGCTGTCTTTTTCATCCTTCGGAAACAAATGTGTTAACTGTTTTTAGGTTGGTGACTGGTCATTAGTTTCTTTATACGCCTTGTGACGAGAGCTGTGTACAAAGTGTCGTGTATTTAACACACCAGCAGCTTACTAACACTGAATGTTTCAAGGGGGAATATGTTGTGTCGCTAGTTTTAGTTTCAGTGCGTAGTCTAGAAGCATTGGTGGTGCTGTCCTTGTCTTGCATATATGGGTGCTCTAAATTAAAGCGGCATTTTGTTTTGTTGTTTTATGGTGGTTTTTCGGCTTTTTCGTGGCCCCCTGGCTGCGACACCACAGTTGTATCAGCTCCTGTATGCGCTTCAATTTTACAGGTTGTTTTGTACGTGATTGTTTTTCATAAAAAGCCGCTCTCACCTGTAATTTATAATGGTCCTGAAGGTTTAGTTTTCACTTCATAGTGAAGGAAAACTACATCCTAGCATTTCATCCAGTAATTTTATATAAGGGAATTGCTTGAGTTGGAATTTCTGCAAGTGGTTCGTAGTCTACTTCAAGGACATATCCTGTGTTTACTTCCAGCTCAAAGTCTGGTGGTGTAGACAACTTTTCAACTGTGGACATTGCAGCTGAAGTGAAGAAGGGAAAAGCAGTCCATTCCCAACTGCGTGAGTTTCCACATGGGCATCATATGAAAGCAGCTGGCATGCTTGCAGTTTATTTGTTCTATGCAAACAAGCAGCCAATAAGCAAAGGCCACACCGTCATATCGTTTCCGTAATTTCATGTTTTCATTACCTGCTCTTGATTGTAGGCTTGTTTTTAGAAACTTGAGAAGCAACCTAAGAAAAGTAAAGGATCAAGGGCAATGCTGGACACATCCCAACAAAGCCAGCAGGCAGTGTGACCAAGGAAGGTTTTAACTGTAGCGTTTTAATTATTACATGAATAGGAAAGAAGCATTGTGGAAAAAAAAACTTGCCTTGATTATGAATAAAACCTAGAATTTTTGGGTCCCATGTTCACCAATCTAATGCTCTACCAGTTGGGCTACTGCAGTGGTCATTCTCCTACCACTTTATCAATTATTTATATGGGAGCGTTAGGCAGTTGCATACCATAGCCATGGCACTTGGTGTTTAGCTGGACCTAATTATTTCATCTGTAGGCTGCAGGTTTGGTCCGGTGGCAAATAGTTTGTGTCCAATTAATGTCTTCCTATTTAAAGCATAATTACTATATTATAGTTAAAGTTTACAAATAAAGTCCCCTGTGCCTTTGTTGGTTTCATTGTCTGTTGGCTTTATTAAGCTGCAACGACTCCACTTGTAGCCTGTGTAGATGTGTTTCGAAGCATGCTAGAGTCAGGTTTTCTTCCTTGCGTATTAGTCTCCCTGTCCACTTGTATCTTATTCCTGGCAGATAACCTTAAGTTCTACGACAACAACACGTGTACAAGAAGCAAATCAATTGTAGCCAACCTGTCTCAAAGATTGTCATAATTTTATTTTTCACTCTTATTCTACATTCTAAAATAAAGTTCGTCATACCATAACCTATGTTCTAGACTAATTTTTGAAACAAGAGCGGCAATTTGGCATCACCTATTGATCTGGTGACAGTGTCCTTGTCATTGATTTTGATAATTTTGTAATTTATAAGTGTTCTTGCACAAATGAAATTACGTTGCAGCCCTAAAACTAACAGCTGTTTTTTCCTTCATGTGATGGAATGTTGCTGCCCTCATTTTCTGTACAGAGATCTGGGACAGTGTCTTGGAGGTGAGGATCCAGTTGCAGAAGTTGCTTGTGCTGGCAAACCACTTTCCAAAGCACGACCAGTATTCCCTGTTTCGGGCAGCTGCTCTGGAGCAAGACAAGAAGAATGGCAATCTCCTTGGCCAAGGTGGTAAAAATGAGCTTGAATAGCAGACTGTGCTTGTCCTTGCAAACAGTTTTACTACTGAGGCTCCCACTGAGTTGTACCGTGTGCCAATGCAGACCTTCATGGACTGGACTGGGAGCATGTATGCCTCGCATCAGTAGTGACATGCTGGTGGTGGCCGCAGTGAAGTACCTTTCCTCGATGGTTTCCAGGGGTGTCCTCTCTCTACCAATCCATTTTTACGTTATGAGCACAAAGAGTCGCATTTATGTGCAAGCGAATGTCCTCCTTCATTGCCATAAATTTCAAATTGCACACTTGACAAAGTCTGAGCATGAAGAGAAAACAAAACACATTTGTCAGAAGTGAATCAGTGTTGATAAGCTGTAAATATTTCATAAATTAAATAGACAGCATTCCTAAGCCAATTGAAAGAGATGACGGTAAAACACGCAAGTGTCAAAAAAAAGAAAGAATCTTGCCCCCTACCGTCGCTAAGGATTGAAGCTGCTTTTGTGAGGGCCAACCGCTTCAGTAACAAACTGTTTACCCTCACCCTGAGGTTTGAAGGTTTATGCTCACCCTGATACAACATATCACCCTGAGATTGATATGTTGTAGCAGCCGTTGTAAAGGAGACGTCTTGTGGCTGCATGTGAAAGGCACGGTCGTGATATGTTGTGCTGTGTGCTTCCTGCTGTAGGCCAGCCCCAATATCTCATTTTTTTAATGACAGTAGTATCACAGAAACTTGTGGGGGCTTTTGTTTTCTGTAGGACACCAGTCAAAATACCTGTGCTAATGGTGTTGGTCTGTTAAAGCGACCAACAGCTGGTCAGAGCGTGCCATTAGATCATAGTAGAAATGAAAAGAGCATGAACTATAGGTGTATTCCAGCACTCTTTTCGCGTTGTGACTCGGGTTTATAAATTTACATAATTCTTATATTTATCAAAAACTGTCTTGTTGTGCAGCTTTGAGAAAGAGCCTTAAAGTTGGATAGTGGAATATGGAGTCGATCACTTTGCTAAACATGGTTGCATAGTCTGATGCTGTCATGTGTGCCAGTACTCAAAATTATAGTATGTATATTATCCAACCCGACTCAATTCTTTGCTGCTTACGATGTAAAAGGAGTAGCACGATGAAAAACGGCGCTGCCATCGCGGCCACCAAGTCATGCTGTGGCGGATGCGTGCACTCCGCATGCATGTGCAGTAAACCACTGCGCTTGAATACGAACTGCCTGCATGTTTGCAGCATGTGAGCTTACGACTTCATATTCACTGCAGGTAGAAAAACTCTCATTAGAAATGTTTCGCAATGTTTTACACTTTCCCATTTTAGGATCAGGCTCACTGGCAAGTAAGATCTTTTTCGCGCTAAGAAAAATAGGCACCATAAAAAATGGTTATCGGCTCCTTTAATATAAGGTATTTCATGCTTTAGCCTGCATTTTGTGTAACATAAACAAATTTATCTCCCTGTTTTTCTCAATACAGCCAAGAGCAGTGTTGAACTAGTCATGCACCAGCTCCTTACCCTTCAGGAGCACCTCAGGGATTCGTACCCAGAGATTCAAAGCATCTTCTCGAACGCCACAGACAAGGAAAGGAAGGTTGAAGATGAAATTGACTCCGAGTGAGTGCGTTGCCTGTGCACCGCATGTGATTTTGAAATGAGCTCCCAACTAGCGGTTGTTGTGATCATCTTTTGCTTCTTGAAGCATGAACTAAAAGACACTTTATAGAGTATGTTATTTTCAACTGCTCTTTCTTGTACAATAAACAAAAAAAAAGAAAGTATGGCGGCAAGTTTGCAATGTTACAGTTGTATAATTCTGCTGTGAACATGATCTGGAAAGTGTGAAAATAGTGTGAAAGCTTGATTCTGAAGGCAGTGCAATAGTGGCATTGTAGACAGCTGAGAAGTAGAAATGCAATGTGGCAGCAGCTGTCTTCCTTTTGTCACTGCTACCACACATTCGCAGCGATTGCAAAGTACTGTTTCATTTTCACCGTTGATACGGTGTCAGCACTTAAGACTTCTCACACAAATATATATTGGGCATGAATACTCATACGTATGTCCACGTGACCACACACTGAACTGCAGGTAGGGAAGCAAACGTTTACTAAGGGAACAGCCAACCCAGAATAGCCCATGCCAGGTTCAAGCAGGTGGCCTCCCAAGTCAGGAAAGCTGTGTTCAAACCAGGTTTGTGAGGCTGAGGCTACACTGCACCTGTGAAGCCTGGGACAGCACTTGAAAATGCAGTTTTTGTCAAAGTCACATACAAGTTTTTCATTACTGACATGCATACTAAAGGAACACTCTAATGCTAATATTTGTGGAAGCATCATAGTACTACTACAGTCTAGCCCACATATAACAGCCCCACTTAAAACGGACTTTCACTTAAAACGAACAATGTCCTCATGACCGTGAAAATATACATTGGTTCAATGGCACAAAATCGCACTTACAACGAACATCTCCAAGCGCCCCTGGTCAGTTATAGCGAACGAAGTCAGTTGTCTGCCGACTTTCCAGGAAACCAATTTCGACCACCGATCAGGCAGCGCCGACCCTGCCTCCGCGACCCTCTAGTTGCCGCTTTCCCCAACCCATGGAGGAAGGAAAGTTGTTTCCTTCTTCCACTCCATGTCCTGACTGCTTTTTGTTACGCACCCCTCCGTCCTTTGTCCCCCCGCTATTCTGAGCACCCCACATCGCCAGACGAGGCCCGTGTTTTCACGGTGCCACCGATCTTTTGAAGACCGTTCGGCCATCTACCCTGTTTTTGATAGCTGATATTACTATCATTGGCGTCGCTAGCCTGGAGTGACCAAATCATTTGCCAACATCGTTGGTCACCGACTGTATTCGATAGTCTGCGTCTAGTGCACGAGCGTACGCTACCCCATTGACTCTGATAATTTGCGACTCGTTTCGTGTTTAGGACTTGTTCTCGCTCACTTTGCCCACGGCTCAGCATGCCTTCCGCGGGTGTGCGGAATCACGGAAACGGCTGTTAATTTGCGGGGAACGAATAGCGAAATATCGAAGTTTATGAGGCCATGCACACCTGCCGGCGCAACAAAACGATTTTTTGACCACGGCCACTGATTCTCCGAACACCACCGCGCTTTGACTGCTGCGCGCGCAGGCACTTTTTCCAAGTTTTTCTACGTGCGAGTTTCGTGGACCTTTCAAGCAAGCTACCCAACCTGCCTCCTTCCCGTGTGTTTGGGCTTTCAAGGTCGCCCTCCCGCCGCATCCTCCCCTCTCTTCATTGCAACCCCTTGCCTTTCTCTCGCAAGTCTGCTCTCCTCTCTTGATAGCAACCCCTTCGCCTGTCTCCACCGCTCTGCGACGCCCACCATGCTGGCTCGAATTACGTTTTCTGACTGGAAATGGGCCCAGAGCTGTTCCACGCGTTCTGGCATGTGTGTCACGTGTGCGCGTCTTGCTCGCCCTTGGTGTGCGTGTGTGGTCATGATGGCCGACGGGAGGACTAGCACGCTTTTTCTGCCGCTCAACAAAACGTCAAAAGTGTGACCGCTTGACTTGAGCGTAATCCGCGCGTTAGGTGCCGCGTTGCGGAGCGCTTGTTCATAGCTGTTGACCACCTGGCAGCCAACTTGCCGCTTCGAGCGTCCCAGTATTCAGCTGTGGAGATGGTGAATATTTCGTGAGCGACGGTGACAACTACATGCGCGCGAAACTGTTTTCGCGAGACCGACTTCGTCGATGTCGAACGCGATGCCGAGCGTGAAACTTCCGAACTGCTGCGGCGATTAGTGGCAGGGCGTCGTCGACTCCAACCTGGGAGAGCGGTTGGGACATCTATTGCGATGGTTTCATTACGGCCGATGATGATGCCGACACTGCGGAACCATGCACGGATTGGGGCATTTTGAATGAAGTACATGGCGGGAGCGATTTGGAGGAATCGGATTGCGAGAATAATGAAACTTTGGAGCCAGTGCCTCGTGCAGCTTATGCCACGGACCTCGGTGAACGAGCACCCTGCCATTTTAAATAAACTCGAGACCGCCTTTATTGCTTCTGCTCTTCGAAACAAGTGTATCATGGACTTTTTGGGGCAAAAAAGTTCGTGTTTTCACTCGCAACTTTTTTTAAAAGCTGTGTTTCATTTACTACGAACTTCAGGATACAGCGAACGTATGCCGCATCATGCTCAAGTTCGTTATAAGCGGGCTCGTCTGTAGTTAAAGTGCTCAGGGTTCCGGCGGATACTTGTGAGCCTAGCAAGCCTGAGTCCGTAGTGTGTTGATTTAAATATTAATTCTCATTGATCTGACAGAAATGAAGAAATTCCCAGTGACACCGAAGCTGAGGAGAGCTCAGACGAGAGCGAAAGTGAGCCATCCGAATGCAGTCCTGGCAAGAGGAAGGCTTGCAAACAAGGTCGTCCTGATAAACCGACAAAGTGCCGCAAAATGGATGCCTGCGTAGCATTGGCTGCAGAATTCTGGACGAAGTTCGAGCCTTACAGGTTGGTCTACCAAAGATCACTTCTTGAGAGCAAAGCTCTTAAAAGTTTCACTAGCTTCACATTTCACTATTTGCACACCAGATGCAGTCGTTGCCCTCTTGAGAGGGAAATCACTTTGTACCGCGGGGCCGCTTCTCTGTCATGTGACCCGCTAAGCGCTTCCTCAATCCTCTCCGCTGGCTATGTGAGGAGGACGGCTCTCTCGGCTGCGTGGATTGTGGCTGTAAGGTCGGCGTGGAAGTTTTGAAAGAGCCGTGCTAAACGAGTGTAAAACTCTGCAGAAAACGATATACTTAACACACTACGGTCGATTTGTTTTTTGATAGACTATTTGATAGACTAATTTAGTTCATTATATGCATTTACCGATCAATTTTACTTCGTTACAACGAGGTTTAAAATGCATGATCAATGAAGCTTTCAAGGGGAATTTCATTTACTTCGCTATATTCTGTTACGTCATAACGAGGTTTGAGTGTAGTACGCAGGTTGTCCTTAGGCAGCCCTTAAGCAGTTTTGTCTGGCTCCATAATTCAGACCTCCAAATTCGGCACATCTGCTTTGTGTGTCTTACCGATGGTCGTATCTCCCGCACATCATTTGCAAACAACTGTCAATGTTGGGAAAGGGAAAACGATCATTCAAAAAGCGGGTGTCTGTATTGGGTCTTGGGTGGCACCAGTTTTCAGCGACATCTTCCTCAGGAAAATGAATTCCAGACTAGAAAAGAAGTTGGAGGGTAAGATCATAGAGTTTCCCAAAATTAACTAGAGGGCACTCTGGCGCTGCGATCATCCAGCGACCATGGGAATGATGGGTAGTACACACATTTGCCTAGTCTTCATACTTGCGGGCGGCTAATCGTACTTGCGGCTTCGTTTATTGCTGGTTACAGTTTTGTTTTGAAAGAAAGAACAAACCCTTTTGAACTTAGTGACTTGATTCGAAATGGTAAGCATAAAAGAATAAAGTTGTGAAGTGCAAACGGTGAACCTGTGTTAATTTATGTTTTCATGAAAAAACAGCTCCAAGCCACACGAACACAGAAGCAGGCCAGAAGTACGAAAATAAGACAAATGTGTGTACTGCCCATCATTCCCATGCTCGCTGAAGCGCCGTGTGTTGTAGCTCTCATAGACACTAGCGCCAGAGTTCCCTCTAGTGTATATTAAGAAACTCTATGAGTAAGATGGTTCATGTCATCATTACGTGGATAATTACTTAATAGCAGTGCCCAAAAATGAGGAGCGCATGAATGTTGAAAAGGTTCTGCAGATCTTTCAAAAAACTGGGATGGGGCTAAAGTTCACCAGAAAAATGCCTTCACAGCATGCCTTACAGTTCCTAGACATAAAGATTATTTTTGCCACCCACCACCCTTGTTGGGCGTATAACCCAAGATCAGTAAAACCTTTGCTTAATTGTGCAAGTCTGGTCATTCAAAAATAGTAAGGAAGAGCATCAATAAGTCTAGCCTCGGGGCTGCTTTCTTTTCATATCACAATCTGGAGGTTACCGTACCACGAGGTCGCACCACTGGTAGTGCTGCTAGCGCGACAAATCGCGGGATTGTCAGCCGTTTCGAATGGTGCTAGATACCGGTAATATAAATCAATAAAAGTGATAGGTATTCATTCTTCAGTTGTATTTTAGGTCACAAATCGCTGCTACGGGGTCTATATCTACTCGTTGACGCAAAAAATCTTGGCATGAGTAAATTAGATGTCAGTGCTCCTTTAACAGGGTTTCGAACATATATAAATTATATAATTAAACAGAAAGCGGAAGCGCTAAGAGAAAAGAAAAAGAAGGCACAGTGCTATCAGGAACAGTTCATAACACACATAAAATAATTTAGACAAAAGTACTAATTTTTTAAATACAAACGTCGTACACCACATAACCCTTGAGGCCCTGCTGATACTATGAGGGCACACAAGACAAGAAAGAATATTTAACAACAAGCTTAAGCACAGATGTTGACATGGCTTCATTTACATAATATAGAGCTTGTGGATGTTGATTTAGAAAAGAAGTTATCAGGTATACAGATTATTTCAGGTATACAGAAATACAGATTAGTTCTGTATTTGGTTCCACAAAGCGGAAGTTCGAAGTGGCTATATCTTAAACTATATTGCTCACATGTGGTTAAATACATGTGTGAAAATGTTGATTTATCTTTTTGCACTTCTCTGTGTATGTATGTAGCAAGTCTTAGGTTATATAGCTGATCAATTCGTTTTTTGAGAGAGTGGTGCTTTGTGGTCAAGACAACTCAGGTTTTCTATGTGTCGGAGAGCTTGCTTTTGAAAGACTGTCAGCCTACCTAAGTTTATTTTGCTTGTAGTGGTCCAGATTATTAAGCAGTAATATAACAAGGAATGTATTATCGATTAATACTGCTGATGTCTTAGCCAAGTTGGAACCAAATGCCAGATTTTAGAAAACAGCTATCTCAACTATGCCCTTAGAATCAAAGTTCACAGCTGCTGCTCGAGCGACCCCCTTTTACCCCGCGTCTTTTCATGCTCGGTCAAGATGGGCTGCATGTTTCCTCTTTGCTTGAGCATTATACAACAGATCTAACAAGTGGTGGGATACCGTCGTCTGCGCCCTCCGAACAACGGAGATGGCTGTCTCGTTTATTCTCAGCTTGAGCAGCGCTCACCACCCCAGCTTGCGCAATTTTATGTGCTCGTAGAATACACGATGCGTGGGGAACGTTACCAACTTGTAGTTTTGGCGGAACATGGTAGCGACGACAAAAATGTGTTTAGTGTCAATATAATTATCGTATCATAACAAGAAAATGCCACCCGCATTTTCCTACATGGCGAGCTCGAGTAAATGCATTGCAGAGTGGTGGCAGTATCGCGTGAATGTTTCGTAATCGGGTATGGTTTAGAAATACTTAACTGTTATTTGTTCTTTACTGTTCTAATTTATTGAATGAAGGAGAAGCGTTGCCTTCAATGTCAAGTGAAAGCTAACTAAAAACACCCTTCACTTCCTAACGTGAGATCCAGTGCCTACATATATGGGGTGGCCAATGCAGTTGTGCAGCGCGAGAAGTTTTTTTTTTTTACTAGCAGACGTTGCCTGCGTCGGCCTTGAGAGGCGAAAGAGGTGGAGGGGAGCAACACTTTTGCAGGTGTCTTCCTGGGCCGGCACGAGATGCGAGCATGCGCAGTGGAGGTTGGGACGGCGCCACCGCCAATGCCAAAGCGCGACATCATGCGACTCAGAAGAGCTCTGCATTTATAAAATTTTCTTTCGATTGCCTAACAATAACGCAGCGAGCGCATCTAAAGTTTCTTGTGGTTCTCATGTCACTTCAATGACAGGACATAATTTTTTTACATTTATTTTTATAGAGCCCTAATGGTTTACTAGGAAAATACCTTTTATCATATTAGCTCGTCTCTAGTCTTGAGTTTCTGTTCATGTTGGATGAAATATTTTAATCACATTTTGAACATTGCAACGTTTTAACATTAAGTTTTTTTCTTCATCTGAGGTCTAGTAGCTGTCCAGAGCGCTGCTGATGTTTTTTCTTTGAGTTGCTGCGCTTTCAGCTCTGATGTTGTAAGGTTTATGTATATGAATTTCAGATAAGTCTGGACGCTTGATCAGAATTGCATGCTTAGTAAAGACCACTAAAACTTGTTCTATTTACCAGAGAGTGAAAATTTTAATTAAGAGTGATGTGTGGCTCGAGAAATCTGCTCCACAACTAAATTTTGATGCTCCAAAACACACCTTTTGTTGCTCCAGAGCTGCTCCAAAAGTCCCTTTTTGCTGCTCCCAAAGCTGCTCCAAATGACTGAAGCCTGCTTCCACCCCTTACATGGTCAAGTAAACCTACAAAGCTACCTGGAAGAGAGAATCAGCTGTGCAGACACTCAAGCAATGTAGACAAAAAATCGACTACATCAATACGACACATAGATGTGAATAATATGTTAATGTGGTCGATGTTGACATCACATCAATGCTGATAATATTGCTACAGTGGATGGCTCACACATGAGGGCATAAGAGTGCTCACAACAATTTAATAGTATAAATATAATCATGTTATAATATTACAATAGAAGGACAATAACAATTTCTCGAGCTGGGGGGTTTGAACTTTAAATCCATCATTTTATTACAGGGGATGCCATAGTGGAAGGACTCCTGACTCATTTTGACCACCCGTGGTTGTTTTACATGCACCGACATCTAAGCACTCGGGTGTTCTTTGCTTTTTGACCCCACCAAAATGCGGTCGTTATGGACGGGAAGTATTTTGATGGAGGGACATCTGTCACGGATTCGGGTGGTGCGCCACATTTAATAAACACAGGCACGGCATTTTAAGAAATATAAAGTGCACAAAACAACTACTTGTACCTTCAAAAATCAGACCAAAACCATGTACAAAGCACACTTCTAACTAAACTGTCCTAGTAAAAGTCGGGCCCCTCTAGCTACTCCTGATTTGGGCCAACCCGACTTGTCAACATTGTTGCAGCTCAAGTAAGTTGGTCATCTATGAACTTAGCTTGTATTAGCGTGATACACGTAAGGAAAAACTACGTAGATGTAAAGAGAAAGGCATGCGCTAAACTTCCAACTGTTCATTTCATGCCAATGACGCTTGTGCAAGCACAAAAGTGAAATCCAACTTATCTTGCTCGTATTCTCATTCCAGGATACGTCATTCCCTTTTTTGTCAAAGCAAGAGGGAAGACAAGCTCAAGTTTGCGCAGCACTGTTTTCCGCCCAGACGGGCCGCGCTTGCTTGATTTGTGCACAAAGAACTTGTTCCTCTGGGCTTTTATCGCTCATTTCGCATGTTATGGGCACCGCTCCCTCATCATTCTGAAAAGCATACACCCACTTCTGCTGCATTGTGAGCTGCTGCAAAAGCTTAAAAATGAGGAAGAGCTGAAAACTTCCCATGAAGTTCTACTGTTTCCAAGGCAAGCAGTGTGAGGAGCAATGGCGTCAAGAGTGGATTGTGGCAGTTCGTCGGTACTTCCGCAGTCTTGTCACTTTGAAAAATTTTTGTCGTACACAGCATAATCACTCATTAACGAGGAAAAGCATGATGGTCGGACTCATATGAAAAGGAAGTGCGTTTGTAAACTGAAGCTAGAGCAAATATAGATAACCACTGTAAATTTTGAGATTGGGCACCGGCTTTCTGAGGCAACCATTTGTAAAAAGCTGTAAAAACAACCAAATCAACATTTGAATCAGTGAACACGCTGCGTGAACAAGCACGGATATTAATCTGAAATGAAACATGCGCAGCGGGAAACATGCACGGTCGAAGTGGACCTAAAGCACTTTTTTTTTGTGTGCGCATCATTATGCTTTCAAAGGAGCTGTAAAAAAATCCAATGTGGCATTGAACTCACGATACGACGTTGTTAACACCAGATCAAAACCTCGGCAAAAGTGAAACTCTTATGAAGCTGAACACTGCGCATTGCATTAGTGCCTGCGACTGAACAGCGCAGACGTAAGTTTAGGCTCTTTCCACTTACCTCCTAATGAATTTAGAGCCGGACAACACACTTTAAAGCCACATGACAAACGCACGCGAAAGCGTGGTGGTGGTTTGCTGAGAGCTTCTAGAAGACACGACTTCCGCATCAAATGAACGTTTTACCAGTAACATACATATAGAATTTGCGCTGTCACCTCACTTTTGATGTGATAGAAATGCAGCTGTTCACCATGGACACACTCGCTCAAAGACTTCATTTTTAACAACTCAATTGCTTGGTTCCTCAAAGGTTGTCGATGAATCGCTCTCGGTTCTAGTGAGATTTACACCGTGAAAACATTTTTAAAATTTTTTTAAATATTCGGAACAAGTAACTGGTGACGCTGCACGTTCAGGGCGACCAGACAATCGCATGCACAGCGTGTGAACGTACCGAGAGCGCAGGCAGAAGGCAGGAGTTGGGTGACGAGCGAGCAGTTTTTGCTAGAAAGGCGGCGAAACGTGCACGGTGCAGCACTCCTGGCTAAGGTTGGGAGACCTATTGATGGCAAACTCACACACAAGCTTCCCGTATCTGTGATAGGTTCGACTTCTTTTATTTCATGTGTCAGTTGATTCCGAGACGGCTGATAACCCTACAGCTGTACAGATTAGAGAAACACCCACAACCTTTGCACTGCGTTGCTAGAAACCTTCCTACGAAAAGTCTATTTCTCATGTTGTAGCTGTGTTCATGTAGTGCATCATTCAGACACCGCTTAGTCTGCATTATATAGTACATCCCGAATGATATTGAAAACTTCTAGACCATATGGCACTCACAATCAACGAATCTAACCTTTCTTTTCACAAGTTTCTTATCACAAGTTGAGTGAGCTCGATTATTTGGACAAATCAACTTGGAAAGCTCCCCTAGTTTTTTGGGGGCTGAAAAAACAATGCGTACGTTAGCCTGCTGGGCCACTTCAAGTTATAGGAAACAGTGTGCGTATACGGAATCACACATACCCTGTAGCACGAATACTCTAAATCTTCTTGCCTGTTCACGTGAATCTTTACATGAAGCAGGGTATCCAGCTCTGTTACGGGTGTCTGTTGCCGAACGCATTCAGAAAGATTGACATAAAGAAAACGGGCAATATCTTCCGGTGCCTACATTGTGACTTCACCTAGCCCACGCTGTTTATAACACATCCTGAAAAAAAAAAAAATAGAAAGAGCACCAACCAAAATAAAAAAGGTTTAGAACAATATAAAGTTAACATTTCGGCTATCATACCATAGCCTTGCTCACAGTAAAGTGGCCCTGCCAAGTGGCCTTGCGAAATACTGGCACCAGAGTGTATTAGCTGTCTTGACAGCGTTCTAAAACGGACATCAGCCCACTTTGCTGGAGTACTTTATTGTGAGCAAGGCTACCATACGGTACCTGAAATGTCAATTTTTGATGTTTTTACTTTTTAACGTCAAAATCATTGTGGTTGGTGCTCTTCCATTTCATTTGTTTTCCAGAACCCAGACCAGATGGCGCTTTGTCAAACCATCGATTTCACCAATCTCATCCCCCCCCCCCCCCCCCCAAAAAAAAAAGGAGCAACATAAGTCAGCTCTGCTGCAATGCAAATGTGTTATGCAATGAAGCATACAAAAAATTTGTTTCAAGGATGGCCATTGGGAAACTCCCAAAAATAACTTTGCAGACCCCCATTTGACTACCACTGTTTGAGACCTTGTTCATTCAATTTAATTCGAGTTAGAGCATTGCTGGCCTTGTTATAGCTATATTGAGTGCTTCACTGCGAGCGTGATCACGCCAAACGAGATGGATGGACAAGAAGGCCCCCTGTAGTGCTCGGCGGTTCAAATCCGGACTAATTCGGCCCAAACTTTTTGTGAACCTATCACATTATGTAAACTCATTTAGAAGACGTTAATGCGGACGGGCTGCTAATAGAATCTCGGTTGATGTAAAGGTACACCAGAATCTCAGTGATACGAATTTGTAGAATTTTCCAGCCGTATTTTGCTTTGTGTAAAGCACATCTTGGCACTTAGTTTTCAATTGGCCCCAAGCATAGTTTTGGTCTGCACTTAGATAACTGGGCTCGTTGGTTTTCCGTGTTTGTCTGCAGTTGTGAGGTGCACTTACAAAAGATGGGCAAAATGATGATAACACCACAAGTGCAAACAATGAAATGGGTTTATTGAATTGTTGTGAAAGGAGGTGAAAGAACGACGAGCACAGACAACAGCCTTCCTTAGTCTTTTCACTCTCTCACCAAACTCTTATTTCGATTTTTTACGACCTCTGTCCATCTTTTTTTCTGTCATTTCAATTAACCTAGTTGATGGTTTATGGTTGTAGTGTGCTCCTTCTTGCATGCATCTTTTTTAACCTAGAATTGTGCTTGCTTGAGCTCGTTAGTTGCTCATAGCAAGAAGGGTTCCAGGCGACTACTCGGGCGAGGACAGGAAGGCATACAACTCATCGCTGTACGTCTTTTTCTCTTCGTTCAAGTAGACTGGCTTGAACCCTCCTCGCTATGTCCTAACCAAGCACAGTTTATTGAACTTGGATTCTCACCTGGACTGTCATGCGCATATACATGCATCCGCTGTAGCGACAGTGGACTGATGAAAATTCTGCTTGTGTAGCCTGGGCGACACCTGATGTTACAAAAACAGTTGCCCTGCGATAACTGCGCTTTCTTCCTTGCAGGAATGCCACCATCGAGAAGTGGTATGAGAGGACACGGCTACTGTCGGGAAAAGTTGGTCGTAGTTTTGCCTCGCTCGAGCAGTCTCCGGTCAAACAGATTGAGCACGTAAGTAGGAGCACATTGCATTAACAGCAAATGTGCAACTGGAAGTAGATTTGTATAAATGAGTTATGCTTTGGGATGTTGCAGTTGTGAGACCATTTTAACTGCTGAAAGATTTTTATTGCTGCGCTTGAATACTCATTTCTTATGTCACCAGCCTGTGGTCTCGCTGAACTGTTGATCAGAGCTGTGTGAAGAGCAAAAACAAAATTCTGCATGCAAAACAAACCTAAATATTGAAGTATCAGTCGAATCTAATGTTTTTTATATATTTTTCGAATATTTGCAAAATATTTATCTAATACTTCAAAGCGAAATCGGAGGAATGAAAGTTGGAGAGGATTGCAAAACATATTCTTATGAGCTGGCAACAGCAAAGTATTTATTTTTGCTAAAGATGATTAAGCACTCGCAAAGTGGTGTTTCATAGTTGTCAAATCAAGAATGAGTCGTGACCCGGTGGTGCAACGGTAGTGCATCTGATTCCAGAAATCAAGAATGAGGCAATGCAGAGGTTTAATTGTGTTTATGTATGTGATTTCGTCCAACCATGGTGTTGCCAACAACCCTTTACAGTGAAAGGCAAAGATGGTATTTACTCAGCCTCTCCTCTTCAATTGACGTGGTAGACAAAGGTGTGTTCTTTTCAAGTCCAGAGTTCCAAATTTGCCTCGTAGGTGTGAATATATATAAGGACTTCTGAAATTTCGTATGCTAAAAATTTTTGACGTCCGATTTTTCACATTTCCTTCCCAAATTTCATGTCCAAAGTGGCATTATTTGAGCGTCTGCCACAACTATCATCTCCATGTTGAATACCGCATTTTCTTGAGTTGATACATTTGTAACCATAGCAGATCTTGAAAGGCAGCTTTGGTGCAGTACAAGTGGGGTGTGGTGAAACACATTGAAAATCTGCAACATTGACTGTATTTGTTTTTAGAAAGTTTGAATAGTTTCAATAGTAAAATTCGAGAGTGAGTCGAATGGAAGAGCAAACACTATTAAAAAAATATTTGAAATTTCGCGCACCCCTACTTTAGGTATCACTTTCCTTTTCTCACCATACCTTTCACTTCATGCTGTTTGCAGTCATGTAAAACAACCTAACTTAGCCAATAATGATTTTATTTATTGCAATTTAATGTGTACCCTTTCTTTTGTTAAAACAAAACTCATTACAAATATATATTAAAAACTAAAACCACTTTTGAAACCAAGAACATATCTCTAAATGTCATGGATCTGCTCCATCACCACGAGCTTTTTTTTTTTTCTTGTTTAAAAACCCCCATGTGCTTCTGCTTACGATGGCTCTGTGCTTCTGGATTGGCCTTGCCTCCCTGGCTTGTGCTTTTGATCTCCTGAATTTCGGAGTTGCAAAATGCTTGAGATGTGTCCGAAGTAATCGGCAGCTCGTTATGAGTAATAGGGCACGAGGCACGTGCCAGGCGCTGGAATGTGGCATCCGTGCACGAGACCCTCGATTGTGCACTGATGCGCCACGTTCACGTAAAATATTGGACAAGAAGGCTCATAGCACGCAACCCGAACCGTAAGAGAAAATCCCGGAGGATGAGCTGTCGCTGTTCTGCGGAGCTTTGAGCTGCGAAGACTTGGGAAACCAGCGTCTCTACAGCAACGGGAGAAGCATAGCTGCCCGGTTTTGAAGGATGTCTGCGTGAGAGACCTGGAGAGTGGCTGTCAACCTCGAAGGGGCTCCCGAGTGAGGCTGCCCAGGCTTGCACAGCAGTGCAAGGATGCGACAATCTTGGTGGACCTGCAACTATCTCACTTCGCGCCGTTACGGTAGGAGCCCACACCAGTAAGCAGAGTGGACCTGTCAGCAATGGTGTCAATAACGAGCTAACCCTAGCCTAGCAAGGCCGAAGACTTCAACGAAGACCGGGACATCGGCGATGAGCAAAAGTGGCCCGCTTGGTGAGATCAACAAATGATGACCGTAGAAGCTTGAGGAGGACGTCGATGACAGACTCGACGAAACGTCGACACGGCAAAGGCACGGAGTCGACGCAACAACAAGACGAACTGCAAGAACGTTTCGTTGCCACGAAACCATGCCAGGAGATCCCTGATTTCTCATTTGTTCCACCGTAAGTGGTTATGTTAAAGCACGGAGTAAGATAAAAGAGGAGCACCGACTCCGCTCATCTAGAAGAAACACATTTTGCAAAGCTGCATCATGCTTGGCTGTTCCTCTACCAGGTGGTGCTAGGAATGAAGGAAGGCGGCCCAGGAGAGGCGCTGCCTTCGAGCAGAGCCACTGGCGGGGGCTCCATCCATCATTGCTATAGTAACGACACGGATGCACGCTTGGCCGCGTTCATGGGTCTGCTCACCTATTCATTCTGTTGTCTGCTCCGTGCTTGCCTTATGCCTGCTACCAGTTCTTTCCTGTAAAGAGTGACTATTGCAGTTTGCGGATGGTCGTTATGAGAAGAAATAACCCAATGTATCGTTTTACTACTTTTATTCGAAACAGGCCAAATGCCTGACATCTTCAACTTAGAACCCACAAAAGAATACTACAACATACATAAACACATCTACACAAAATTAGTAAATGAGGTAACATAGCAAAAAGAGGGCATGTAAAGCAGCATATGAAAAATTTTAGGTGCACTGACAAACATGGTTTATTAGTACGTACACAAGCATGGCAAGAGAAACTAAGAAAGGGGCCGTAATGTATAACAAGGAAGATAGGCTTGCAATGAAGAGGTGGTGTTCTTCACTTCTTTCTTTAGCGTTCGTCAAGTGCGTCGCTTGCTTATTTTCTTCTCTCGACGCATTCCAAGCCACTCGGATCTCTTGCGAGTGAAATTGCCACGTTTTCATGAGAAGGTACTATTGCAAAATTCCTACTAGAACTACTTTCTTGTGAGCTTCACAAGACTGTGTCCCCAGCACATCGTCAATTTTGCATTACAAGAAAAGATGTTCTTGGTCGAGTGTAACAGTCTGTATAGATGTATGCTTGCATATATTATTCGGCTGCATGTTTTGGTGGCAGTGAGACTGGGAATGTCTTCGTCAACAGGCTGCAAAGTTCAAGCAAGTGCACTCCTGCGCGTCTCACAGTCAAACTTTGGACAAAATTTTCATGCCGCATACCCAGCGATGAAGTAGATTATTCATTCGATTATGGTGGGACTGTCCTCTGTCTGGGGTAAAATACCTTCACATGCCCAAGCGAATGAAGCGTGTTCTGGAGGGCTAGTTGGTGCTAGAGATGAGACGCATCTAATACAGTCGAGCCCACATATAACGGCTCCACCTAAAATGAACTTTCGCATAAAACGAACAAAATTCGCGTGACCGTCAAAATATACATTGGTTCAATGGCACAAAATTGCACTTATAACGAACGTCTCCGAGCGCCGCTGATTGGTTACAGCGAACGGAGTCAGCGGTCTGCTGACTTCCTGGGAAACCAATTTCGGCCACCGATCAGGCATCGGCGAAGTGCCCATACATTCTTATTGTTAAACGCCGGCCCTGCCTCCTTGACCTCTTGTTGCCACTCTCCCCAACCCATGGAGGAAGGAAAGCTGTTTTCTTCCTCCATGCCACGACTGCTTTTTGTTAGGCACCCCTCCGTCCTTTGTCCCCCCCGCTACTCTGAGCACCTCTCATCGCCAGACGAGGCCCATGTTTTCACATTGCCCCCGATCTTTTGAAGACCGGTCGGCCATCTACCCTATTATCGCTGGCACTGTCGTTGGCGTCGCCGGCCTAGAGTCACCAGACCATTTACCAACATCGTCGGCCACCAACTGTATCCGATGTTCGGCGTCTAGTGCACGGGCGTACGCTACCCCGCCAACTCTGATCATTTGCGATTCATTTCGTGCTTAGGACTTGTTCTCGCTCACTTCGCCTTCAACTCAGCATGCCTTCCGCGCGAGTGCGGAAGCGCGAAATCGGCTGTTAATTTGCGCAGAACGAATCGCAAAATATCGAAGTTCGTGAGGCCACGCCAACCCGCCGGCGCAACAAAACGATTTTTCACCACGGCTGCTGATTTTTTGAACACCGCCGCACGCAGGCACTCTTTCCAAGATTTTTTTACGTGCGAGTTTCGTGGACCTTTCAAGAAAGCTACTCAACGTGCCTCCTTCCCGTGTGTTTTGGTTTTCAAGGTCACCCTCCCGCCGCATCCTTCCCCCTCTTTATTGCAACTCCTTGCCCTTCTCTCTCAAGTCTGCTCTCCTCTCTTGATCACAACCCCTTCGCCCGTCTCCACCGCTCCGCGACGCCCGCCACGCTGGCTCGAATTAGTTTCGTTTTCTGACTGGAAACGGGCTAAGAGTTGTTCCACGCATTTCGGCATGCGTGTTGCGTGTGCCCGTCTTGCTCGCTCTTGGTGTGCGTGTGTGGTCATGGTGGTCGACGGGAAGACTAGCACACTTTTTCCTGCCGCTCAACAAAACGTCGAAAGTGTGACCGCTGGCTTGAGCATAATCCTCGCGTTAGGTGCCGTGTTGCGGAGCGCTTACTCATAGCTATTGACCACCTGGCAGCCAACTTGCTGCTTCGGGCGTCCCGGTATTCAGCTGAGCGTGGAGATGGTGAATATTTCGTGGGCGGCGGTGACGGCTACATGCGCGCGAGACTGTTTTCGCGAGGCCGACTTCGTCGACGTCGGGCCCGATGCCGAGCCGGAAGCTTCCAAACTGCGGCGGTGATTTGTGGCAGCGCGTCGTCGACTCCGACCTGAGAGAGCGGGTGGGACATCTGTTGTGGCGGTTTAATTACGGCTGACGATGAGGCCGATACTGCAAAACGGTGCACGGATTGGGGCATTGTGAATGAAGTACATGGCGAGAGCGATTTGGAGGAATCATCGGATAGCGAGAACGACGAAACTTTGGAGCCAGTGCCTCATGCAGTTTATGCCACGGGCCTCGGCGAACGAGCACCCTGCCGTTTTAAATGAACTCGAGACTGTCCATATTGCTTTCGCTCTTCAAAACACGTGC